TTTTCCGTTAATTAAATACAAAAATACATTTTTCTTTCCATAAACAAGGATAAAATTGTCCTCACCCACTTCACCTTTTTTTCCCGCCATCAACTTAGTCCATAAGTAACAGTAGCAGCAACATGAATCTGAAAATACTTTAAATGATTAAGTTAAATAAAGAAAAAATATCGTGAACACATTATATTTCACAATTCCACAACTACTGTTGCTGTCATCTTGTGTCACTGGAAAATTTTAAAAAGACATATTAAATGGGTAGTCAATTTATAATGAGTCAATTTAAAATGAGCCATTCATCTTCTCCATTGAGCCAAAAAGAGCTATTCACCATTTTGGCTCATTATAAATTGACTACCCATTTAATATGTCTTTTTAAAATTTTCCAGTGACACAAGATGACAGCAACAGTAGTTGTGGAATTGTGAAATATAATGTGTTCACGATATTTTTTCTTTATTTAACTTAATTATTTAAAGTATTTTCAGATTCATGTCGCTGCTACTGTTACTTATGGACTAAGTTGATGGCGGGAAAAAGGGGTGAAGTGGGTGAGGACAATTTTATCCTTGTTTATGGAAAGAAAAATGTATTTTTGTATTTAATTAACGGAAAAACTGACGGAATATGGACGGAAGGACGTCCAGCGCAAAGAAAGGTTGAAATGAGGGCAAAAATGCCAAAAAATGAAAGGTATGGACGTTTTCCACAATAGACTTGAAAGGTAAGGACGTTTTGTGCCAATTACCCTTTAATTAACGGAAAAACTAACGGAATATGGACGGAAGGACGTCCAGCGCGAAGAAAGGTTGAAATGAGGGTAAAAATGCCAAAAAATGAAAGGTAAAGACGTTTTTCACAATAGACTTGAAATGTAAGGACGTTTTGTGCCAATTACCCAATAAAAAATGGTTATGCTATAAAGAAAGTTTGTCTGAACTATAACTTTACGAATCCAATCATTTCCTTATATAATTCACTTGTGCACAAGAGTTATGCGAATATTCGAGTAATTATTTACTTTGTTGCAGACAAAACCTGGTCTGAGTTCATATGCTGCCGACCCTCCGGCAGCTGCCAACTCTCTAAAACCGCTCCTCGAGGAAGCCGAGGATGTTGTTCCAACAGAGTTGCGTCCCGACACACCGGTTCGACTTGGGGTAGATAATTAATATATAACACAAGCTCTTTAACTCCATTATATATATATATATATATAAACACTGAAGACAATCTTGAGTTGAATATTTTATACAGGCAACTGCAGGTCTGAGGTTATTACAAGGAGATGCGGCTGAAAGAATTTTGGAAGCGGTAAACTGAGCCGGCCTGTTGGATTCTTGCTTATAATCATTGTTCTGATTTTCTTCTAACGATTAAAGTTTCGATATTTTTCTTCTAAAAGGTGAGAAATTTGTTGAAGAATGAAAGCACCCTAAAATACAGGGATGACTGGGTCTCCATTCTTGATGGAAACCAGGAAGGAACTTATCTGTGGGTAAGTTTATATCATCCACGAGCATTTGTCTTCAAGTACATGGACCAGTACTGATGCTTCTAAAGATGATAATTTATTTAGGACTAGCCTTAATTTGACTTCGTAAAAACCACAAATATTATTCACTTATTTTTACCAAATTATAATTTTAGCAACTAAAAAGAAAATCAAAATAAAGGTTAAATATGAGGCCATACTTATCAGCTATGATGCACTGAAAACTCTAGTGTTTTTATTTCGGGTCCATTTTGAGAATCAAACTTTTTTAAAACTCTCAAAAACATTTTTGTATCTCAAAAATAAGTTTTCTATTTATTATTATTATTATTATTATTATTATTATTATTATTATTATTTTTTTTTTTTTTTTTATTTTGAAAACTCATGCTCTATACATGGAAAATTTACGTTAAGAAATTCTGAAATTTTTGCTTAAAAAATTAATTATGGGCTTCGACTTAAAAGTAACTCAATTGTGGGCTTTAATTATTATAATAAAAAGAATTAACAGCGGTCGAGCTTATCGCACCGAACTTTCCTAGTGCAGTTTACATGACTGGTGTGATTCGCAAGCTATTACGTTAACTCGATGGTTTACCCAGTACGCACTCGAAGGGTAGCGGTTAGGGTTCCTCGTCATTAAAAAAGAAAAAAAAGGCCAGATTTTAACATAACCCAATTTTATGAACTATTTTATGTCCTGCTTTTTTCATAAATAATGTTTCAATGTATCGTATCATATCACATCACGTTTCTTTGTCATTTCCATTTCCGTGCAACTTAGCTAACTTAGCTTTAAGTAATGGGCATATAGTATTATTCAATTGTTATCGTTATTTGGCTGGTGAGTATGCAGGTGACCATAAACTATTTATTAGAAACTCTGGGAAAAAAATATTCTGAAACAATTTGTACAATTGATCTTGGAGGAGGATCCGTACAAATGGCATATGCTATCTCAGATGAAAATGCGGAAAATGCTCCGATGCCATCAACAAATGAAACATACGTAGAGGAAAAGACTTTCAACGGAACAAATTACAACCTCTATGTTCACAGGTTTATTTGAAAAAAATCTTTCGAAAATGTATAATGTGCAGCATGCTTTTATTGGATTTCCAACGTCGTATTTTGTAATATGTCTACAGTTACTTGAACTATGGTTCAAAGGCCGGTCGAGCTGAGATTTTTAAGACCACTAGAAACTCCACAAATCCATGCATTTTGGAGGGTTATGATGGTATACATTTACTTCGCCATGCCTGCTCTTGTTTTTCACTTCTTTTTTTTGAGTTTTTTCGAAGAAAATGACGCAAAATGTTGTCCTTTTAAGGTACATATACATATGGAGGAGTTGTATATAAAGCGTCAGCTCCTCCAACTGGCACAAATATGAAAAGATGTAGGGTATTAGCTAGGAAGGCTCTTAAAATTAATGCACCCTGCAAATATAAGAAATGCACATTCAATGGGATTTGGAATGGTGGAGGTGGAGATGGCCAGAAGAATGTGTATATGTCTTCATCTTTTTACTGGACAGCACGGGAGGTAGAATTTACTCTGGTAAAAATTATATTAATTTTTAATTCATTGCTAATTATGCAATTCTTTCTCCATGGATTCAAGGCTGGAATTCTAGAATCTGATGCAGTTGGTGGCATAATTCGTCCACTTGATTACATGGAAGCTGCTAAGCTCGTATGCGCAACTAAATTTGAAGACATTAAATCCAATTTTCCTAACACAGAAGATGACGATATACCATATTTATGCATGGACCTCGTATACCAATATACATTACTTGTAGATGGATTTGGTAAGTTACATTTTGAATATAACATTTTCATGTGGAGGAAGGTTTGATTAGTCATGTTTAATTTTTGTTATTCGACAGATGTGCATCCCCGAAAAAAGGTTACGGTGGTTAATAAAGTGAATTATAAGAATTCAGAACTTGAAGCCGCATGGCCCCTGGGATGTGCAATCGATGTTATGTCATCATCCGCGACGAAGAGATCAATTTTTGATGAATGAGTTATCATTCCTATTAAGAGTGCTGCAAGAATAATTGTCTCATGATAATAACGACTTTAAATTTCTACTTGTACTTGTTTCACTCATGTATTATGTCTAATATTCTCAATGATACTCAATAAGACTTGATGTCTCTTGATATAAGATTCTCATCATATAAAACCAAAATCACAAATAAATATGGTAGCTATCAATTACAAAATTCATTAATAGTAACATATAAAATATGGTAGCTTTCCTTATATTCTATCTTTTCTTATATTCCAATAACATCATCTCTCAAATTGATATTGTTTCCAACATCAATTTGCAATTATGAATGATGATGTTGACAATGCTCATGTCCACGAAAAAGAGACTCAAATCGCAATAACCAACTACGAAAAATAGTGACGATAAGAGACTCAAGAGTCAAGAACAACAAATAGTGCAAAAATAGCCAAGAACCATTTCAAGAACACTTCAAAGGCACTCCATGGAACTCACACCCCCAAGAAAAATTTTCAAAAGAAATTTACAAATTATGCCAACCACACACAATGAACTCTATCAGTTGAGAGAACTCAATCGAACACATAACTTGTGTTCCAACAAAAGCTCTAATAATTAATGCACCACCAAAAATCCAATAATATATCGTTGGCCAAAATGTTGGAAGAAATCTCACCGAACAGCCTATACCAAAAACTCAAAAAATGGTTCTCCTCTGAGAATCCAAGAAAACTATCAAAATACCTACAAGACTAGACAGGAGGAAGCTTTTGCTTCTCTCTCCATGAGAAAATCCAACCAAAAAAAGGAGAAAAAGATTCTAATGAACTAGCTCTGATTTGATACTGATATGGTAAGTTTGGTCATGCTCGATCATTTATCCCGACGATCGTTTTTAGATAAACTTGTGATTTCACATATGGAGTGCTCGAGCATATATTCCTTGGGGTATAATGCTCGACACTCCCTGTCTTGCTACTTTAACATTTTACGATACTTGTCCTCGAGCATAAGTAGTCCTCGTGTATATGTTCTCCTCATAGCCTACGATTGCTGACCCTTTAGAATTCCTATGTAATTGGGACTCTAACTCAACCATATACTTGACTCCCACAAGGATTCTATCCCAGACATAATTATGGCATTGGACCAATTCCTTCGCCTAATAGGACTTCGTTGGATAGAGATACCCAACTAGTTGAGTCCCACTTGGAGAATGTCGCTTACTACTATAAATACAGGACATTGGGTCATTGATCAGATACGTTCTCATTATTCTCCGGTTTATAGCCTCACACATATAATTCCCTTTCTGACTTAAACATCGGAGGGGCGACGAGAACATACCTCGTTGCCTTTGTTTCAGGTACCGGAAGACTACGATCGTGGTCAATCAAAATCATCAAGCTCAGAAAATCAAAAGGTACGATTTTTGGTAGCATCATTGGCGCCATCTATGGGAAACACTACCAAAAGCCATGGTTAACACACAATCAGACCTTCCTCCCGCAAGCTCATCCGCCCCCATCCCTCGTCCTACTGAAGATCAACTAGCTACTCAAGAAGAGTCGTCGGGAGTGCCCGCACCTCTTCTGGCGGTCGTCACAAACGAAGCCTTTGAAGAGCTCCGTCAGTAGGTGGCTACACTCACGCAACTGTTAAGTCAAAGAAATTCACATCCGTCACCAGCGCATGCAGAGCATGGTGGTTTTATGGCTGATGCTTGAGCTCGACCACCAAACCTTGCAACTGGTGGAGTAGGGACCTTGGGTATTCGCAATATGGCCTCAGGCTCGAGATCGGTCGCCATGGATTCAAGTGAGATTGCCCGAATCATTCAAGAAGGAATTACAGCTGGCCTGCAAATGAATGCTCGAGGGCCAATGGGTTTTACCCCTAACACTCCATTCACGCCGGAGATACTGTCATATCCCCTGCCCGACAAATTCAAATATCCTCGAATCAAAAAGAATGATGGGACGACCGACCCAATCAACCATCTCAATATATACACTGATGTCATGAATTTGTAAGTTGTGCCGGATCAAGTTATGTGCAAAGCCTTCCTGCAAACGTTGACTAATGCTGCTAGAGATTGGTTCTCGACATTGAAGCCCAACTTCATAGCCTCATTCTCAGATTTGGCTGATAAGTTCTCAGCCTTCTTTGTAAGTAGCAAGCGAATCAGAAAGACTGCGACCTCTCTCATACAACTTCGCCAAGGACCAAGTGAAACCCTACGAGGATTTATGACGAGGTTTAACAAAGAAAGACTTTAGATACCCGACCTTCACATCACAGCAGCTGTCTCCGCCCTCACTTACGCCATAAGATGTGATGCTTTCAAGATGTCCTTATCAAAGACCCCATCGCAGACACTGACTGAGCTTCTCACCCAAGCTGAAAAGTACATTAATATGGAGAAAACACTGAATCCAAGGAGACCTGGTCCTCCCCATGAAAAGGTCGAGAACAGGAAGCAACATGATCCCGTCTCCCGGCCAGAGTATCCTTAGGAAAAATGCAAGAATGGAGGTCCACCAGGGCCCCTCACCCGATTAAACACCTCCAAGGCAAACATCTTAATGGGGATCAAAGATATGAAAGAATTAAAGTGGCCTTCAAGAATGAACTCGCCCCCTGACACGAGAGATAGGAACAAGTATTGTGAATTTCACCGAGATCATGGGCATACCACGGAGGATTGTGAAGCTTTGTAGCGGGAAATCGAAGTTCTCATTAAAAGAGGACTCTTAAGGAATTACATTGATCATGATAAATGCCCAAGGAATGACTGTAACAATCGAAAAGTGCTCAACCCACTGCTGGGACCATTAATATTATCATTGGGGGCATAACATCTGGAGAAGACACAAATAGTGGGCGAAAGCAGTATGCCCACCAACATGCTCATATCCCAAGGGAATCCCGTGATAAAGTCAAAGACATCACCTTTGAAGCAAGAGATTTGGAAGGAATATCATATCCTCATGACGATGCCTTGGTCCTCTGTGCGGTTGTGGCTAACTTTGAAGTAAAGAGGATTCTGGTTGATAATGGGAGTGCAGCAAATATACTCTTGGAAGAGACTTTCGCCAAAATGGGGATCTTTCCCAAACAGCTCAAAGCAGTAAAAACTCCTCTACAGGGATTTGGTGGTAGAGTCATTATCCCTGAGGGCATCGTCGAGCTCCCACTTACATTAGGTTCTGGTAATACACAAATGATAGAGATCACACCATTCCAAGTGGTTAATACCCCAGTGGCCTACAACATCATTCTGGGAAGACCCCTACTGAATAAGATCCAAGCTATTGTATCAACTTTCCACCTGGCCATGAAGTTCCTTACAGATCATGGCATCGGAGTAGTTCGAGGAGACCAAACAGCTGCCAGACAGTGCTATGTTACTAGCATCCGAGGAATGAGTACAGACGTCATGCAACTTTTAGACTTCGAGCTCGAACCAAGGGATAGATTGGGCCCCGTTGAGGAATTGGAAGTGGTCGAGCTCGAGCACGGGAAAATGGTGACTATTGGTCGAGATCTCAAGGCCAGCCTCCGGGAGGAAGTCTTTAATTGTCTGTCCTATAACATCGATATTTTTGCCTGGAAGGTCGAAGATATGCCAAGGATAGACCTTGAAGTAGCAGTCTATAGACTCAATATAAGCCCAGGGGCCAAACTTGTTAAGCAAAGGAAGAGGCGGTTTGCGTCGGAAAGACGTGTAGTCATTCAGAAAGAGGTCGGAAAACTTGTAAGAGTGGGGTTCATAAGGGAAGTCCAATACCCCGATTGGCTCGCTAATGTTGTTCTTGTAAAGAAGGCCAGTGGTAAATGGAGGGTCTGCATTGACTTCACAGATCTCAATAAGGTGTGCCCTAAAGACAGTTACCCGCTACCCAGGATTGACAATCTTGTGGATAACACATCCGGACATAAGCTGTACAGTTTCTTAGATGCATTCTCAGGGTATCATCAAATCCTCATGGCCGAAGAAGACCAAGAGAAGACCTCATTCATGGCTGATTCAGCCATATATTGCTATAGGGCAATGCCATTTAGGTTGAAAAATGTTGGGGCAACATATTAGAGGCTCATCAACAAAGTCTTCACTGATTTGATAGGGAAGAATATTGAGGCCTATGTAGACGATATGGTGGTAAAGAGTAAGAAGGTAGAGCAGCACATATCCGACCTTGAGGAAGTGTTCGCCACACTATAGAAATATCGGAAGAAGCTCAACCCAGAGAAGTGTGTATTCGGTGTGGCTTCGAGAAAATTTTTGAATTTCATGATCACTCATCGGGGGATCGAAGCGACCTTGATAAGATACAGGCCTTGGCCATAATGGAATCACCCAAGATAAAGAAAGAGATTCAAAAGTTGACAGGTAGGGTAGCAGCCCTAAACAGATTTATGTTCCGAGCAGCGGACAGGTGCTTCCCTTTCTTCAAAGCTCTCAGAGGCAGCCAAACTTTTGAATGGAATGAGGAGTGTGAAAAAGCTTTTCAAGAGCTTAAACAGGCATTGGCATCCCCTCATATCCTCACTAAAACCAAAGCCCGGGGATACTTTGTTTTTGTACTTAGTTGTGTTACAAAACGCAGTGAACAACGTCTTGGTAAAAGAGGTAAGCAGAGCCTAGCAACCCATTTACTATGTAAGTAAAGTCTTACTTGATGCAGATACAAGGTACATTTTAGCCGAGCAGCTTGCCCTCGCCCTAGTAGTGGTAGCATGAAAGCTTTGACAGTATTTTCAATCTCATACCATTGTTGTGCTCACCAATAAGCCTCTGAGACACATCCTTCAAAAGCCAGACATCTCAGGCAGATTACTAAAGTGGGCAATTGAACTTGGGGAGTTTGATATAGAGTTCAAGCCCTGTCCGTCCGTCAAAGCCTAAGCTTTAGCAGACTTTATTACAGAACTCACCCCAAAGCCTCGGGGGCTAGGTGAGAGCTTGAGCACTACAACGGATGTTTGGTAAATTTTCATGGATGGAGCATCAAACTCCTCGGGCTCGGGCATAGGGGTCATCATAACGAGCTCGGACATGCTCGTGGACATTCAGTGTGCACTCAGGTTCAAATTCGAGGTAACCAACAATGAGGCAGAGTATGAGGTTGTCATCATAGCAATGGAACTTGCCATTAATTTCGAACTTGAAAACATCAAAATCTTTAGTGATTCCCAGTTGGTGGTGGGGCAGATTGATGGAACGTTTGAGAAGAAAGACGAGAAAATGAGCTTATACTGCTTAAAATTTCATGATCTCCGACAAAAATTAAAGAGGTGTGAAATTGTGAAGATTGCATGGGCTGACAACTGCAAGGCAAACGCCTTATCAAGGCTGGTGTTCATGGGAGTAGATGGACTTGACAGAATAGTACATGTCAGATTTGTGACTAAACCTAGCATCAATCAGACTGTAGGCGTCATGGATATTGATAATGAGCCATCGTGGATGGATCCAATAGTGGACTTCATAATACATGGCAATCTTCCAGAAGATCCTCGAGCAGCAAGAAGCATCCGGTCCAAAGCTCCAAGGTATTGCATGATTGAAGGAGTTTTATTTCACAGAAGCCTCACACTTCCATACCTCAGATGCTTTAAGCCTTCCGAATAATCCCAGGTCCTAGAAGAAGTTCATAAAGGAATATGTGGGAACTATCAAGGAGCTCGGGCATTAGCCTTCAAGCTCATAAGGTATGGATATTATTGGCCTACCATGAAGAAGGACGCCCAGGAATATGTCAAGAAGTGTGACAAGTGCCGGAGATTTGATAATATCATCCACTCTCCCGCAGAGGACCTCACTAGCATTAGTTACACGGCCTCGTTTGAGCAGTGGGAAATTGACATCCTTGGTCCCTTTCCAATAACTAGGAGGCAATTGAAGTTTGTGGCCATGGCTGTAGAGTATTTACTAAATGGATGGAGGCCGAGCCTTTAGCAACAATTTCAGAGCCTAAGTTGAGAACTTTCATTTGGAAGTCCATCAAATGCAGGTTCGGGATACCGAAAGTCCTCATAACTGATAATGGCAGGTAGTTTGACAATGCACAATTTAAAAACTTCTGTTCCAACCTAGGGGTTGATCACCATTTGACATCGGTTTCCCACCCTCAAAGTAATGGTCTTGCCGAAGTGACCAATCGAATTATATTGCAGGACCTCTATACAAGGATTGGAGATGCAAGAGGTTCCTGGGCTGATGAGTTACCCTTCATACTTTGTACATATAAAACGTCCCACAGAACCGCAACGGGGAAAACCCCATTCATGTTGGCTTTCGGTATTGAGGCCACCATCCCTGTTGATGTTAGGTTGCCTAGCCAAAGAAGACTTGAGCTCGAAGATGCAGAACGTACCACTGAACACCTCGATGTCTTGGAAGAAGTTTGTGATCAAGCAGTTTTAAGAATGACCTCTTACCAAGATAAAACAGCAAAGTAATTCAATAAAAAAGTGAGGACGTGGAGATTCAGAGCCGGAGACCTTGTGTTGAGAAGGGGCCGAAGCAACAGGTCATGTCCCGGGCAAGCTAGGACCAGTTAGGGAAGGGCCTTTGAAGTCATATGACAGCTTCAAGGAGGTGGATACAATTTAAGGGATATATCAGGAAGACCACTTCCAAGACCATGGAACGTCGAGAATTTAAAAATATATTACAAGTAACTTGTTCTTCCAGTTTTTAGCAATCAGGCCTGCGTGTTAAGGTTCACGTTTTCAGTTCTCAGGCCTGCGTGCCCAGTCTTATTTTTGGGTAGTCAGGCGTGCGTGCCAAGGTTCACATTTTTAGTCGTCAGGCTTGCGTGCCAAGTCTGTTTTTAAAGTATAATAAGAATTAAGCTATTCATCAAAATGTGATCTCACTACCAAAAACCTTGCCCCGAGTAAACACCTCAAAAGCCTTGCCCGGAGCAAGCACTTCAAAAGCCTTGCCCCGCACAAGCAACTCAAAAGCCTTGCCCCGAGCAAGCACATCAAAAGCTTTGCCCCACGCAAGCACCTCAAAAGCTTTGCCCCGCGCAAGCACCTTCAAAATCTTCTCCCGAGCAATAATGGAATGATGTTATGCTCGAGCTCATCACATTACTCCCAAAATGATTTCATAAAATTGAGTCCTCGAGATAAACATATATATATGCTCGAGCTCAATGCATTATTACGAAAATGATTTTATGAAATTGAGTCCTCGAGATAAACAAAGATATGCTCGAGCTCAATGCATTATTACAAAAATGGTTTTATGAAATTGAGTCCTCGAGATAAACATGTATATGCTCGAGCTCAATACATTATTATGAAAATGATTTTATGAAATTGAGTCCTCGAGATAATTTCCATGTTAAGGCATGACGTTAAACCGAGCTTTGATTACAGTTGTTGTCTTACAAATTACTACCTCGAGATAATTCCATATCTTAACTCATCGTTATGATCGAGCTTTAATTACAATTGTCTTACAAATTAGTCCTCGAGATAATTCCATGTTAAGGAATGACCCTTGGATCAAGATATTACCTTGATCTGAAACAACATGTGGATTATGTCAAGATTTTTTGAGCAGTTTACAATCCACATTCAGTCGTTGGGTTACATGTTAAAAGCATTATCGGTGTCATGATCGAGTTCATTACTTGGCAAAATTCCTAAACTAAACCATCGAGATATGACTTTAATGAAATATCGACGTTTGTTATCGAGCATAATGGAAAACAGACGACAAGATAAAATCGAGCATTCATTAAATCCAGCATTGATTTCAAAAATATTCTTTCCAAAAAAGCCCAAGACCGGGCAATGTACATGGAGAAATATAAACGTGGCGAGGGCCTAGGATATTCTATTCTTGGTCGTCCTCGGGAGCAGTATCAACATCCTCGAGCCCATCCTCATCCTCGACTGCATCATCGACTGTGTTGTCGGAATCAAACAGCTTGAGGGTCTCAGCTATGTTCGGGATCATTTTCAGCTCCTCAGGGGCAACCTCGGGCATCTTCATCCTGAAGAAGTCCCGGGCTTGTTTAAGGGCGTGAAGGTACGAGCCTTACGCATACTCGCCCTTCAGCCTATCCATCTCCTCGGACTTTTTAAAGTCCTCGATTGCTGAAGCCCGAGCCTCATCAAACTTAACCCCAAAATCCTTCTTGAGATGTTCAAGCTCGAGCTTTACCTCTTCGGCCTCATCCTTGGTAGTCCCCACTTCATCCCGAGCTTTCTTCAGCTCGTTCTTCGCATCCTTGCGCTCCCTCTGGAGTTGAGATCGAGAACCCTCGGCATTAGCAAGCTTCTTATCTCGAAGCTCCACAGCCTCGACCAACCCAGCCATCTTGTGGGACTCGTCCATCCTTTGTAGAGAAAAGCTTCAAGCGAGACTAAGTGTCTGACAACCAAAATCAAAAGAGGATAAGAACGGGAAAAATACTTAGCCGAAAATCATAAAAGGCAAGACACTTACCTTTAAGGTAAGGAGCTCGAGGGCCTTCATACCCTCGTCAAACTTGACGTTGCCTCTGTATTTTGCGACGATGCTCGGGACCAGATGGCATCGCTCAAAATCCTTAATGATTGAGGCAACAGGAGGAATAGAGTCATCCTCGAGATCAACAACCTCGGGAGTGACCCAGGAGGAAGTGGCTGCAATGGCTTCGGTGTCTTTCTAGGAGAACCCCTTGTCATCGAGGAAGAAGAAGGCTCGGATCTCGAGGCCTTGACGACTCTCCTGGACCCCGAGGAAAAGCATCAGTTGTGTATACCCGGGGCCTCTTTTTCCCCTTCTTCTAACCTGGAGCCCTAACATGTGGCTCCTTTGATTCCGAGCTCACTACTCGATGAAGAGCTGATGGATCAAAAGATATTTCTACACAAAAGAAGTATTAGGCAAGAGTTTATGATCGAGCATAATTCATAAGTCAACAGAAGAATAAATATCCTACACTCGAGGCCTTTCGCACACCCAAGATCGAGGATGTCATCCCTAAGAATATCATCTATATCATACACCAAGGGCTCAAGATCCTCTAGCATATGCCGATCCCTCTCTAGAGTTTCGAAGTAGGCCTGTCCCTCACAAAATTT